CAATACAAAGTACAAAATTTTTTACCTTGACTATTGGCTGACTTATTTTGTTTAGCAATTTCCACCCACAACTTGTGATACATTTGGAATGCCAAAGCGTAATAGCGGTACAGATTGCTGGTTTCATTGTTGTGTAAGTCATACACTTCATGATTTCAAACTTTCTATTTAAAAGAACTCGATCGAATATAAATATAGCTTTTAGTGCTAGTGCCTTTTTTATAAATTTTGTTTCAGTATGTAATCAATTACAAATCTTGGCTTCTTGGTGGAGTAATAAATGAGGTAGAAACATGCGATTTTCCGGAAGACTACACATGCAATACCGGTGAGGCGTTTTCAGTTATTCATTGTACTTCATGATCTTAACTCAACTCACACTCTAACAAGGGTTGTTACAAGAAATAAAGCCTTTGTGCTCTTTAAAATCCACTCTTCTTGCTAATAAAACAATTTAACTAGTGAAGTTCCAAAAACTTCATAATTTTAGATTAATACAAAGTTTCTTTTTTCAATAACGTAGCAACTTTTTCTTATTCAAACGAGTTTCCGTGATTTCTCAATTCTAAAAGCGAAGGTTTGCTTTGCAATGGCCCTTAGGACAGAAGACACAAAACTTTTGTAACTTGTTTAAGAGAAGTATCTAAAGTATTTGATATGCGCGCTGCATCTTGCCGCACCATGGAAATGCTACAGATGCTGTAAAAATTCGTGATTTATTGAGAGTCGTGTTAAATAATCGGCAATGTCGAGCTCAGCTCAGTCGTTAGCAAAAAAGCTTCAACAAAACCATTTTTTTTGAAGAATCATCATAACTACTGGCTGCCGGGTAGTGTAATGGTGACCGCCTAGGCCCCCTTCAACATCTCTGAAATTGTTGGTGCGAGCGAACTGAGGTGTCATTTCTGAATTGCGGAAGTTCATATATCAAAGAATTTGGCTTTTTGATTGTTCGCTAATCCAATATTTTATGGACAATCTGAGTTGAGCGAAAAAACAAAAAAAAACTTTTGCTTTAACCTAATGAGCTTTACAGGTACGGCATCGAGCCAACACACATCCTACTTTTCGACTTCTCAGGGAAATTATGATGGACTCACCTGCGGACTGTTCACTACATTTACCGTTGCTTGATGAAATGATTTTCACAAGAAATAAAGTTGATACAAATATTAGAGAAAAGATTGCTTCGTGTTCTAATCATAGAACTTCTTACATTTGTATCTATCCTGAAGGTGTTTCTGATTTGAAAGCTTAGAATAAGGCTGATTCTTTTGCAACTCATTTTGATAGAATACCCTGATAAAAAGCATGAAAATATCCAATATAGTATCGAGAGAAACGATGCCAAAT